ATATTTGACTCTCTAAGCAACTCCTCGTTTCAGCCTGTGTGCGTTGGACCTAAGCGCCATGGGTCACTGAAAATGGTTCTCTGTCTGGTTGTTACTGTCTCGTATCTGATCATAAAGCTGAAAAGAAAAGGGCGCACGAACTTCCGGCAAAAAACATTGATGTTACATTGGTATAACCTTCACCTTGGTGAAAGGAGTACAATCACTGCGCAACATGTCCCCGCGAACAGTTCTCGCCAGCGCTAGTCAGCACCTACGGGCAGCAGTTAAGCTGGCCAGTGAGAACTGGTCCCTAATGCACTAGCAGTGATGGGTCCGGGGATCTGCTTCAGCGATGCGATTAGCGATGCCAGTCATGATGACATCATTTAGAGCCAATTTGTGGACGATCAGCTGGTGTCCGCGTTAACGGCAGCAGCTGATGTCTTCTCCGATGCTGCTGATGCTGATGCTGATGCTGATGCTCCCCGTCACCAGCTTCGTCGGGTGGACAAGATGGATTCACTGGGTGCCTGGAGAAAACGTTTGGGACGTTGTGTTGTTAACCCTGGAGTCAGGAAGCAATGAAGTTATAAGGGTCCAAGAGCTCTCGGAGACGTTGCAGTCGAGGTTTACATTATCTTAGAGCGACTATACATTTCTGACCGGCACCAGGAGGAGGTCATTGCTCATTACCAAAATTATGCATGTTTTTGGGGTACGAGGTGCACTTCTTTGCTGCCCGCACCACCGCTAGCAGCTCAACTTCAATACCGACGTAGCGTGACTCTGTCTCCCTGAGAATCAAAAGCCACACTGGACAAGCTTCCATTTCCACTCTCATCTTGCTGGAGAAGACAGAAGCAGACAATTTTGAAGCGGATCGCATCGCTTTCTAACACAGACCTTCGAGCGGTGTCAAAGAACCCTAACACTGGCGTTGAGATCAGCAGCAATTGGGGTAATAACAGAACGCGTGGTCTGTTCAGACCCACACGCTCTTCGGAGGAAGCTGTCCACGCAGTGGCTCAGTGGTTGCGGATATCTGCTTCCAGAAGGCCTCCAATTGGTGCACTGGACCACGTGGTCGCAGCCGCCAATCAGCACTTCGTCTCCAAACTAGAAAAAAAATTCACCAATCAGGTTGTTGTCTGCCGTGACGTCACAGCAGAATTTTCCACGCAGATCTGACGTGCTCGTTGTGGTGTCTGTCCCATGCCAGCTCGTTGACGAGTAACTTGAATGCACACGGTATGTGGGGCCTTGGTCGCCTCGCTGGTAGTAGACTTCGCCAGGGGGATGACTGCCATCACGACGCGCTTGCACGGCTGATAATAAACAATAATTTGGGGAAGCATGGCTCCCTGCATTGCAGCCAGATGCTCATGCCTTTTGGTCACGGCCGGTGAGCCCCGGCAAGCAGTACTCACGGCGTGTGGGGTTCAAACGAGATGGCGTCTCGCACCACCGCGACGCTCTGATGCGCGGGAGAGCGACTTGCATCACCCCGGCGTGTCGTTGCCTCCGTTTCCTGGGCTGCTCGTATGCATGAGTGTCAGCTGTCTGAGATATGCCACTTAATACTGTCGTCCAGAAATGTAAAAAGAGTTCAGCGTGAGTACACAGGTTCAATGTCCTGAAGACGTACCACTCCTTTGAGTGCTGAGATACCTGCAGTGACAAAAACCGTTTCACGCGACATTTCAACATTTGCTTTGAAAGTTCTTGCATCAACATTTCTATAAGTGGATAAAGGAGCCTACCGTCATTTCAAACATAATGGTCCATAGTCTAATACGCGCCCGGATGGACGGCTAGATACGCTTCGCTCGGGTGGGGGGTCAACTTGACACCCCCACTGAGATCTCGGGAACTAAGAAAGCTAGATGCATCGCACTCAAAGGGTGTTTTGACCTGCACGTGCACTCACTTAGGTCAGAGTTTGAGGTTCTTAGGTCATGACCTTCGGGTCAAATGAGGTCAACCAAGGTCAAATTCCAAGTTGGTTTCCGAGGTGCTCCCAGAACCTAGATAACTGTTTCTAAGCAAAAGACCATACGCTCATTCAAGGTCAGTGACCTTGTTTGACCTTTTTGAGATTATGGTGATCAAAATAACTCAAGACTGCTCTGAGTTTTGCATTTGAATAAGCGACAAAGATTACGCTAGGCAGTACGTTCCTAACAACAAAATGTTGACCTTGGTTATTTTAGGTCAATGACCTATTCTGACCTCTACGAAGTCCATGGAAGATGTAAAATGCGGTTCCTGCTATCAATAAATTTGAAATGAGCGCCAGAAACTATCCCACACGGCAAGCCCTTGAGTAATAAAACAGATTGGTTTTAATCTTGATCTTACTCCCATACCTGACCTTAGGTCAATGTTATTTGCCCATTCAATTGCTGTGTAGCCTAAGAAAACATCTCAGAGATGCATGGCTTCGTCCAACACTCAGTTGTTGCACCAGATTGAAAGATTCCCTAGAAATTGGCTTCGCCGAAACCATGGCCTGAATTTGACCTGCTATATATAGAGAAATATATGCCACATATACATACATAGGTCAGAAACCTTTTGAGTTACATCTAGGTTTTGAAAGTCAGGATCATTGCAGTACTCCTGGCCAATTAAAAGATAAAGCATGATCAGCACTGTTTTTCAGTCCTTTCAATGGATTGAATATATGGTGGGGATGCGTTTAAGATAGGAGTGTGCACGACATTTGTGGTGCGTCTTCCACGTAAAAATATAAACTGACACTGGCAGTGCCAATGCATTAGAGTTCAGCTATGTCCGGATAAGCCTGTATTGTGCAGTTCGATCACATGTCACAACCGACGCCCGATATCACAACGTCTGTAGACGTAACAAGCGTTTCACATGTGCCATTGCGACGCATGCCGAGATGACTGTGACTGAGTCATTTAGCAGCCGGTGTTCTGATTTGAGACGGCTCCGGTGTCGCTTCCCTCCGCGTTGCCCAGCAGTCCCTGTCCGTTCACGTTGGAGGCATGTGCGGAGTTGTGGCTGTTTGCGCACGGTCCTTTGGCGGATCCCTGCAAAAGAGATGATACTGGAATTAGAGCACCACACTTGCCATGCACTGATTACTATGCATCTCGTGCCATGCCTCGCTGTGCGAAATGAAGAATAAGTACACCGGGCGGTGGTCCAAGCTGGCAGTTATTAACCGTGATGGACCATACAACGCAAATATATACATAGATGCAGTGGTAAATGCACGTAGTTTGCTTGAGCCTAACCCAATTATCAATGCATTTTTGCGTTGCGCTATTTTGACTCGAATTTCAGGAGCAATTCATTAAAACGTGGTGGTAATGCATGCAGACTATCCGAATGCTTGCAATGTTTCATAGCTTGACTACATAAGTTAAGGCGTGTTTCCATTCCATTTAACGGAATGCGAACATCCAAATCAATACATTTCACCTTTTTCAGACATGCTCAAACGACGACTCTCGTTTTTGCGCGTACTTACCCCTGCGTTGGAGCCGACGGACGTAACCTGGCTGGTGCCACCAGGTGTATTGCTGGTGCCACTGGTGACGGTGCCTGCAGCACCCCCTGTGGCCTGACTGTTAGGAATGCAGATGCCTCCGAAGCAGAGAGGCTTTGCCCAGGCCACGGAGGCGCAGACCACAAGCAGGAGAGCGACGACCTTCATAGCTGCTGCAACACAAATCACTGGTCAAACCACAAACCAACTCCTTCTAAACTCGAGAAATGATTGTGCTTCCACATGGTGCTGGTGATTGCGTGGCTTCCTCATTCTAGACCGTGAAATGAGACAAGCTCAGGGTGAAAACATACCCATCTGCGCGTGCGCTGGGTCGTCTTTTTTATGACCCCTCGCAGGCACGTGTCCAAAATACATAAGGGCTACCGAATATATTGATTTTGAGGCATGACCTATCGGGTCGTATAGATTCATTCCCGCACTTTATGGTCTATAGTCATCTTGCTCATTCCCAGACGCAGCTCTCACCCTCGCACGTAACAAATGGTTTGAATTGTTCTCCTTAAGAAACAGGACACAGATGAGGACTTTCTATGGGTTGTTCATTATTCTCTCAGTAGCACAGCAGCAAGGCATCCGGTCATAACGACGCTGTCTCTAACTCACGTTTAAACCCCATATTCAGCCAACCAATTACAACTGGCTTGAGAAATGACCACATGACCTGGATTGCGCCTTCTTAACCCTCGCTCAGTACGCTCAGTCATATCAATATTGGTTGCACTACACACTCCCGCAGCCCCAGACCACTCCACAGCAACGGTGGCGAGGCGGCAACGCCTTCGACACCGCAGTGGCCGAGCCGGCCCGGCTGAAGCGCCTTACCTGGCTGAGTGTTTGCTGTGCTGCGACTGCTGGTTCCTCCCGCTGTAGCTCCAGTTTTATACACGAGCGGGCGGCCTAGAGATCCCGCGCGAATACCAATGTAGCAATCATTGAATCTAACATATCTTCTGGATTCTGGTCTCGTGAGCATCAACACTGCCTCGGTGACGCCCGAGCTTGCGCACTCAACTGGGAAATTTCTGTCGCGGATTCTGGGAGAGGAGCTCACATGGGAAAGGATACGTCCCTTGTGCTCGTGTATTTCGTAGTCTGGCACGGTGCCGCGTTCTCTGCCTTGGTTTTCCAGACCGGGCTAACACGCTTGTCGGTGTGTCGGTTGTTGACACTGAGGGAATTTGCAACTGCAGAGGTATGTAAACTGACTGAGAGAGCGCTAAACAACACAAGGTCTGGTAGCACGACTCAATATCGTCGGCTTTTCCATCGCTAAACTGTTTTCGTCTTTGCTTATCAATCATTTTCATAAGAATATCTCCTTACCTACCCCACAAAAGATGGGTCATATATTCAACCTGTTCTCCGAGCCGAGGGTTTTGTTTTGCATGCATATTGTGGGCGGCTGAACCGTAAGCCATGTCCGACCTACTTCCTGAGTCTGCCGACGCGCGGGCTTGTCTCCGGATTTGACCCACTTTTTCATAGATTTGGGGGCTCGTAGCCCAAGCTGGTGGAGGGACGGGAGGGGCACCGAAAACCTTCCAAAGTTTTAAGAAACCATACCTGTGGCCCAAAATATGATTAACTAATGTAAACATATATTCTGGATGTGAACGACCCTGATTTCCACATCTTTGACTGGAATTATAGAGATGCGGACACATAGAAATACACTACCCGGATGCTTGCAGCGTATATTCTATGCTCTCCCATTATCCCATATCCCACATCATATCCCATATCCCATATCCCATATCAAGCTACATGATTTCAAATATTCGTCTAAACATCTTGGATATCTGTGCATTAAACATGAATGCCCCTTTGCACACGGCATTGGATTAAAACAGGAGTTAAGCCTATATATATATATATATATATATATATATATATATATATATGAATCTCTCCTTCACCACTGTGGGCGCAACGGGCGCTGTAACAGGTGCTGGGTTTGAAAAGCACTTTCCTGGCAAGGTTATTGATATAGAGATGCAGAGTGATAGCAAACATCCACAAATACTACCGTTGTCAGTGCCGTCCAGAAAACGTTTGACTGGTTTAGTGTGGGTGAGCGCGTTGAACGCTGAGTTGGTGGCATGCGTATCGAAGTATGATCGCATGGTCACTGAAGAGCCAGCTCACGCAGAGCTGTTGCTCTCAACTTGCGTCGCACATTTCATTGCCACAATACGTGTTTTCTTTGGGGCACGCTCGAACTGAAGCGGGTGGGAGTCGCTTTCCGTTCAGCTTGGAGCAATAGCGTATCCTGGAGAGCAGCAGGCTCACGGTTCGTGTTCATTGAAATGAGTGGGTATGAGCGTTTTCAATAGAGAAGCAGCTGCCTAAGTGTATTTGGGAAGGACCCTGCGTGGAAAGGTGCTTGTGTTCTGTTAGAGAGAGAGAGAGAGAGAGAGAGAGAGAGAGAGAGAGCGAGAGAGAGAGGAGAGAGAGAGAGAGAGAGGGAGAGAGAGAGAGAGAGAGAGAGAGAGAGAGAGAGAGAGAGAGAGAGAGAGAGAGAGAGGGAGAGAGAGAGAGATGTATATATATATATATATATATATATATATATATATATACATATATAGCTGAAAACAGAATAATGAATTAATAGCAGTAGAAATATATATATATATATATATATATATATATATATATATATATATATATATATATATGTGTGTGTATATATATGTATGTATTATATATACATATATATATATATATATATATATATATATATATATATATATATATATATATATATATATATATATATAGATCAGAAGTAAAACCCAGACATTGTCGTTTAACCCTTACGGAGGATGGTTTCTTGTACTCACACCAAAAGAGGACTTTGTGAATATGTCGAAGATCCAGCTCTCTCGTGACCAAAACGAGCTGTTGAACCCAGGCATTGGCTATCATATTTTGCTACGATTTTCGCCACAAGCCAAGATGGTCTGACGTGGGGGCTGTTTTAATCAGGATATATGCCAACTTCAGTCACACGAGAAGATAATAGTAAATACCGACATCCAAGAGCAACTAAAAGCCGAGACCACGAAGAACAGAAGCACACTTCGCAAGCCATTACTGGACACATGACTGCTGAAGGCTGCGAAGGAACTGCGAGAAAGTGGAGACATCGTTATGTAATTCTTATGTGATTGCAATTGGGATGTTATCGGTGTAACAAGGGGCACAATATTGAGCCATGACCTCCTTAATGTCATCCGACACAGAGATAGTCTTCCGGTTGTAAATCTTGACTTCCTGCCATGGGGGAAAGCTTGTCAAGCAGCAGTTAGCGTGATGGTCAGGGACGCATCCCACTGTTCGTCCGGTAAAAAGGCGTCAGGATAGCCCTCCAGATGGCCGCGGCCAGATCCTGTAGAACGGGACAAATGCCCGTTGCCGTTGACGCACCGTGAAAACACAATATCAGGCTCACAAGATCCAGTGCAAGCCTATCACCGTTTGTGCTGCCCCTATTTTTTTCCTTTTTTGCTGCTGTGCTGTTGCATTTTACGTTCATGATCGAAGTGGCCGGGTGATGAGCACTGCATGGGCTGGGCAGGATATTCATGCGCGTTGGATCTGGCTTGAGGAGTTGGTGATAGCCAAGCCCATGAAAGCTCACATCCATCGGGAAATGGGAACAGCAGCGCGAACGCATCTTAGAACGAGAAAAGATGGCCCCAAGACCTGGCTAGGTCGACGCACGCGACGCCTTGCTGTCTTCGTGCAGCAAGAAGATGATGCTGGTTCAGCGTTAGTCCTGGGACAGGGCGCTCGCTCTCAAAGGCTTCCGTCGCCTGGGAGGGGGCCATTTTTGTTCAGGGTTCAGCCCCCTCAATACATGCTGCAAAACAAAGCCCCTTGGTTTGGAGAAGAGGCTGAATATATGGCGCAGGCCTTTGTGGGGTAGATAAGGAGATATTCTTATCAAAATGATTGATAAACATAGACGAACGCATTTTAGGATAAAGGTGTTGAAGCAGTTGGTGTAAACGATGTTGATCTTGATGTTGAAAGATGTTGGCCTTCTGCTAGACACTGTGTTGTTTGGCCACCTCTCACTAAGTTTCAGGCCGCTGCAGTAGCGAATTCCCTCAGTGTCAACAGCCGTGCACCGATAAACTGTTAGTCCGTTCTGGAAAACCACGGCCGAGAACGTCGCACCGTGCCCGACTACGAAATACCCGAGTAAACGGAGCACATCCTCTCCCATGTCAGCTCATCTCCCAGAATCCGCGACAGAAATTTCCCAGCTGAGTGCACGGCCTCGGGCGTCACCGAGGCAGTGTTAGTATTTGCGCGGGATCCCTAGGCTGCCCCGCTCGTGTATAAAACTGGTGTCACCGCGGGAGGAACCATCAGTCGCAGCACAGCGAACACTCAGCCAGGTAAGGAGCTTCAGCCGGGCCGGCTCGGCCACTGCGGTGTCGAAGGCCTTGCCACCTCGCCACCGTTGCTGTGGAGTGGTCTGGGGCTGCGGGAGTGTGTAGTGCAACCAATATTGATATGACTGAGCTTACTGAGCGAGGGTTAAGAAGGCGCAATCCAGGTCATGTGGTCATTTCTCAAGCCAGTTGTAATTGGATGACTGAATATGAGGCTTAAACGTGAGCTAGAGACAGCGTCGTTACGACCGGATGCCTTGCTGCTGTGCTGCTGAGAGAATAATGAACAACCCATAGAAAGCCCTCAACTGTGTCCTGTTCCTCAAGGATAATAATTCAAACCGTTTTGTTGCGTGCGAGAGCGAGGGCTGCGTCAGGAAATGAGCAAGACGATTATAGACCATAAAGTGCGGGAATGAATCCGTACGACCTGATGCCTCAAGATCAATATATTCGGTAGCCCTTATGCATTTTGGACACCTGCCTGTGAGGGGTCATTAAAAAAGACGACCCAGTACACGCGCAGATTGGTATGTTTTTCACACTGAGCTTGTCTCATTTCACGGTCTAGAATGAGAAAGCCACGCAATCACCAGCACCATGTGGAAGCACAATCATTTCTTGAGTTTAGTAGCGGTTGGTTTGTGGTTTGACCAGTGATTTGTGTTGCAGCAGCTATGAAGGTCGTCGCTCTCCTGCTTGTGGTCTGCGCCTCCGTGGCCTGGGCAAAGCCTCTCTGCTTCGGAGGCATCTGCATTCCTAACAGCCAAGCGACAGGGGCGGCTGCGGGCACCGTCACCAGTGGCACCAGCAATACACCTGGTGGCACCAGCAAGGTTACGTCCGTCGGCTCCAACGCAGGGGTAAGTACGCGCAAAAACAAGAGCCGTCGTTTGAGCATGTCTGGAAAAGGTGAAATGCATTGATTTGGGCGTTCGCATTCCGTTAAATGGAATGGAAACACGCCTTAACTCATGTAGTCAGGCTAGGAAACATTGCAAGCATTCGGATAGTCCACATGCATTACCACCACGTTTTAATGGATTACTCCCGAAATTCGAGTCAAAATAGCGCAACGAAAAAATGCATTGATAATTGAGTTAGGCTAAAGCAAACTACATATATTCACCAGTGCATATATATATATATATATATATATATATATATATATATATATATGCGTTGTATGGTCCATCACGGTTAACAACTGCCAGCTTGGACCCCTCCAAGCTGGCAGTTGTTATACCGCCCGGTGTATAACAACTGCCATATAATACCGCCCGGTGTATTTATCCTTCAGTTCGTGCAGCTGGGCATGGCATGAAATGCATAGTGTTCAGTGCATGGCAAGTGTAGTGCTCTAATTCCAATATCATCTCTTTTGCAGGGATCCGCCAGAGGACCGTGTTCAAACAGCCACAACTCCGCACATGCCTCCAACGTGAACGGACAGGGACTGCTGGGCAATGCGGAGGGAAGCGACACCGGAGCCGTCTCAAACCAGAACACCGGCTGCTAAATGACTCAGTCA